CTTTGAAATAAAAAAAATGATTGGAAAAAAAGAACTTATTTGGACACAAGTCCCAAAATCCCCTATCCAGCAGGTGGGAAAAAGCTAATTTGAAATGGCCTTTTTTAAAAAAGGAGAGAGAAGTTCTTGGAAAAGTTTGCTTCTTTTAGGGGCTGCATGTCCTAGAATCCTCCACTCAGCTATTTTATGTAGCCTTTTGGAAAATGTCAATTTTTACAGTGCAAATGCGAGAATATCTCAACCAGCATGGCTTTTTAAAGAAGAAGCCATCTTGAAACAATCTTTATAATAAAAAAAGAGAGAAAAATACTTGGACAAGGCAGATGCAGCTTCTCCTTACTTCTCTGGCAATTTTTTTCTACTGTGTACTTCAAAACTGAGGTGCGCATTACAATCGATGGCACACTAGATTTGAGTAAATATGGGTATTCAGTAAGTAAACCCAGACTGAAGGCATGATAGCCAGCAGTTGTGGTACAAGTTTTTGTTTTTAAAATTGCATCTTTCTACAAGGACTGAATACCACAGAAAGAAAATAAACTGTACATTAAAGTCATGTTCTCATGTTTCCATTTGCTACCATGATTAATTTCTCTGATATCCATGTTGAAAATCCAGTACCAGTTTTTTTGTATAAAAACTGAAATATGCAGAATTGGTGATCAACTTATAAATATATAGGTTTAGAGCCAATTTTGGTTGAAATTTCTTGAGTGGGCACCCTGACTTAAAACTCAGATGTTTGGGTATAAAATACATCTGTTATGTTATGCTATTGGAAAAGTGCAGTCTAGGGCTCTTTTATATTACATAGTGGACGCCAGTTTCCAACTCCTGGAACATGCACAGACATGCCTGATATGAGAAGTCTGTCCAAGCAGCTATGATATGTTGCAAGAGATTCTGGCATACACGCCTGGAATGACATGAGGCTTCATGCAACCTCTTGATTTGCTTGTGCTGAAGAACCAGTTCTAATGAGGAAGAAAAAGGTGCTTTTCACATGCTAAAGAAACTTGATCCATTGCAGTCAGAAACAGAGTGGTTTGAGTGTTAGTCTGGAATACTGGGATTCATATCCCTGCTCAGCAATGGAAACCTACATTCTCTCAGCAAATTGGGCCAAGAAAACCCTGTGACGGGCACATAATTCAGAAACGACATGAGGTCACATAACAATTGGAAAACCTATCTGTTGAGGGTAAACAACAAACATTGCTTTCCATATGGTTATAAAAATAACAGCAATACTAACATTTTATTATAACTCCATATAACAACTGATCTTAAAATGGTCTGAATCATACTTTGGGCTCACGATGAAATGTTCCAATGATTGATCAACCACAACTATGCTTGGATCCTTTTAGTCAGCCTGGATTGGATAGGAAAAGGCAGTTTTCCAAATATCGAAAGAGAAGTGTAGATCCGGCTGAGTCATGTGCATTCTGGCTTTGGCCTAGATGAGAGCTAGTCTAAAACTACATATAAATAACCACAGAAGACAATGATTAACCACAATATGTTTAATTATTCTTTAGCAACAATAAGGAACAGTATGTTTTGCAGATTCACATTTACAAAGAAATTGGCAAAAAGAAAAGAATATCCAGTGTAATTTTTAGCCTATCTTACAGCCTTTGAAAGAAAATAGAGCATTAATATAAAACAGTCCATCCATGTTTGTGTTATACCTAAGTGCCAGTGAGTTTTAATGATTAACCACCACTGTAGTTGGATGCAGTATATAAACCCGGGAAAGGTATATTCCCAGGGCACGTACTAAAACAAATTCAAAATGTCTACTTTTAGGGGTGGAAGGGTATATGACACCCTACGTATTACTCAAAATTTCTCATTTCAACAAGGAAATGCATAAACTGAAATAACTCTATCACTTAACCAGAGATTTACCTAATTCCGTAGTCTGCTGTGTAAGCAAGACTAAGATACTAACATTATTTGTAGCTTTGTAAAAGAAGCAGACCCAATTTACTTTTGTTCTGGCAAATCTGAAAATATCCTAAGAATAGTGTGTGTTTATAAACCAACATTTTAACATTCGGTCCGATTCATATTTAGTCAGAAGTCAGTCGCATTGAATTCAGTGATACTCCCAAATAAGTGTTATGGGATTCCAGTCCTAATCTTCTGGCACAACAGGTACAGTACCCATTTTAAATTTTATCTAAAGAGAACTGGACAAATTCTGACAGAGGAGCCTATCTGAATAGCACCCAACTCCTCGGAAATTTCAGGCTGATCTACTTCATTATATGTAGTTTTCCATAAGACTACCACACATTCTATATATGGTAAGAAATAGTTGAAAAAGCCATGTGATACTACACTGGACATGGCTGCAGAAATGCTAAGTCAAACCATCAGTGAAGTGGAGCAGCAAACTAATGAAAGTATTATGCCACACCATCCATTTTCCAAAAATATGTTAAGGGGAGATGCATTTATTAACATAAAGTGTGGTTTGATTTTCAGGAAATGGTCTTATTTAGATACTAGGAATTAATATCCCCAGATAATCAAGTTAAATTGTCTCAGTAAGATAAATCTCAAAAGACAACTGGAAAAGGCACACTATGAGGTAAAGAAAGAGCAGGGGCTTTGGCATTATCACACAGACCAAGTTAAAGGAGTTGTTTTTACAGCTGAACTGGCTCAAAAGTGGGAAACAGCAGTAACTTTTTATTCTATATAATAAGATGTAATAGTCTTGTAATAAGTGTCACAGTATCTGAGAATCAAAGGGAAACATGTATTCCTTCACTCACTCCTAACCTGTGGGTACTAATCCATCTCTAAGACTCATCACATTGTTACTGGCACAGGAAATACCCAAAGCACTGATTTCACAAATTAACAGGCTTGACTGTTTCCAACAGATTTCTTCCCTTTACATTAAACCGGCCAGCCTCTTACGAAGGAGGTAAACTTTGTTCAGTCTTGTTAAAAAATCTGCACTCATTTCCAAAACGACGGGAGGAAAGGATACCAAAGACTCCTGTTTCAGAAGACCTCTTCAGAGACACCAAAACAAAGTAAGTCAGATGCATGAAAAGGATGGTGACTAAGTCCCACTGCCCTCCCATTTCTTGTCCTCTTTAGAAGACAGACTCCTATTTGTGGAGTGTGATCAAGAGCACAATGTTTCTACATCTTCACATGTGTAAGTTACTCTGCCTAACAATGCCTGAACAGGGCTAGCGAGTTGCCAATATTGTGAAAGGAGAAGGGAGAAGCAGGACTGAAACTATAGTAGTCCTTCCTTGATGAGAACAACATAGAGTCCAATTACTGTGGGGACAATAAGACTCCTGCATCAATGAGAATCCCAACATTTTAGGAAAAGGCAGAATTGAGTTACACAGGAATATCCCATCCTTGAGATGGCACATGAAATCCTCCACGTGTGGGTTTCTCTCATGTGCCACCAACTTTTCAAGTTCATTGTGACTTTCTTGGCCTCCTTTTCCCTTTCTATCTAGATATTTTAATTTAAGGTTTTCAGACCAGATGTATTGACTGGATATGACATGGGAAATTCCATAATCAGATCTTTCTATATTTTTTGAGGTTGGGGGGGAAATCAGGTGCTCGAGATGATGTTGGATTTATATCATGGTAATAGGAAAGGGTGTAGTTAACTCTATCTTCCTCATACAAGTTCTCCAATTTATATTGGGCACATGAAGCTTGTATTAGAGAGTGGGGGGAAAGACAGGTATAATATATGGATCTGCTTGTTTTCCTCACTCCATCGCTAATGGCACCAGAAGGGCAATTAAATACCGGAAAATGATAAATAAAGGGTTAATCTCAGTGCTTTGGCCAAAAACCAAAGTTGCTGAACTCTTAACAGTTTGTTTTAACCCAAGTGGGAAGATACCAGAAGATCTGTATCATGTGAATAAGCCTGGGTGAGAAATGGGAGCACAGAAAACCATCTTGAGGGCAGCAGAGGTAGCTGCTCCTGCTTGGTTCCAATAGTTTCACAGCAACTTAATACTTGATTTTAGTCTATGTCGGAGAAAGGGGAAGGGAAGCAAGAGTCATCATGATTGCAGCCTACCATAAATGGCAATTTCCCGTCAGAGGGAATCCTAATCGTACAAACTATTTACATTGCTATGGCAGAAAGTCAACTTAGAAGGCCTCAAGGATCTCTGCAGTATGAGTAATCTAATCCAAGCACTGGGACAAAAAGTAGTTTGAAATTTAAACAGCCTCTTTCCAAGATACAATGGGTAACAGAAAGGAGAAGCAGCTTCACTGCTGAAACATTCTGCGGTATTCCAAACTCCAGCCCATGACTGTTTTTACTGTAAGATAGGGGTTTTCAAAATAGCACCCAGGGGCTTCATGTGACCCCTTCAAGGCTGTTTTTCTTTGCTCACACGTGTCATTATTTTGCTATGGTGAAAATGGGGGGGGGGGGGCATTTTCACCATGCTTTTGGCCTGAGCTATTTTTTAACAGGACGTGAATAGGATGGAAGTGGATAAAATGTCTCTACAGGACATTTGGGGGCAAAAAATGTTGTGGCTATAGGAGCTGGAGTATTTTCTGGGGGCAGAAATATGGCGTCCTAGGCTTTAGCAGTTTGCTGACCCTGTTGTAAGAACATGTCACTGTACTTATGTCTCTAACACTGCATCCCACTTAGTTCTTTTAATGTGGACAGTGGTGAGAAACAACACCAACATTAAAGAGATTCATCTAGTGTTTCATAAGCTGCGGCTGATCTGCTGCTAAGAAATGGAGTCCTGGGAATGGTGTCCAAAAGGACAGATGCCCTTTAAGGTGAAAAGTTACTAGTGAAGGATTAAGCCAATAAATGAAAATGTCAGAGTTGATTGTTCTGTTCTAAGGCCTGGCATAAACTATTGCAGCCTGAGAAGGCAATTCTTTCTGCTTTGGGAACAAAGCAGATGTAAAGCACCCAGTTTTTAGGAAGTGGAAGTAAAATTCCAATAAAATAGATGTTCATTCTAATGAATGAGCATTTAATGTACAGAGGATTTCCCAGTGTAAAACGTAACAGGTTGACACATTTTGCTATGAAGCAGTTGCACCGACTGACATCCTTATTTGCCTAGGAAGCGGCTAGCAGAGGATTTCAAGAATGACTTCATACATAGTCTGGGATTTGGCTCCACAGTGTTTCAAAAGTCCTTCCGATATGGGGCTTTTTCAGTCATCAACATCCTGGCTTGGGTTAAGAAATACCTATTAAAAGGAACAGAAACAATCCCAGGAGCCTAGAGGCTGTAAAGGGAGAGATCCAAGGCTCAAGGAAGGTATTATTGGCAAGAATTCCTTGCTTTCTTCACACTCCTGTTTGAAACCAAACCATCAGACCACTCCTTTGATAAAGTTGGTGTCCAAATGTACAATTAGCATACGTAGGAAAGACATTTCTTTGCGGGTATTTTCAAAAATAATTCTGGGGTCATCAGACTGGCATCGCAGACAGTTTGGAGCCATCACCATGGCTAAGTTGTTTACATCCATCTTGGTTTTGCCCACATTAATTGGCTGGGCAAAAATCTGTGAAATAAAGGTATGTAAAGCTAAAATGTAGTGGCAACAATAATAACACTGTAATAGAGATACAGCAATAGCATAGAAGATGTAGGGTGCATATACAATACATAATTAATACAGTCTAGCACCACTCAATGCTATGGAATCATGGGAGTTGTAGTTTTTCAAGAAGCACAACTACACTGACCATTTAAGGTGGGTGAGGTTGGCAGAGGAGGAAGCAATTTCAACCGTACATGAAAACTTAAAACCAGGATGGCCTGGGTGATGTCTATACACACCAGAGGCTGGCTCCAACCAGGATCTACAGTGTCTGTGGCTTCATGGCTGTGGAGGATTTGGGGTTGTTCTCCATCTTCCCCTCCCCAATGTGCATGTCTGATCCCCAGAACACCCACCTCTTAATCAATTTCACCATGTGATGCGGTTCCACCTAGTTTCGTCTAGGTGTGCTAATGCACATTACAAGCTCTATTTTGGAGTATCCCCTACATTTTGGTTATCTTAGCTTAGAGACTTTAAATCATATTACTCTGTGAATTCTTGCCATTTGTCATTTAAACATTATGTTTGAGGTCTTTATCCTTCTCTGCCAAAGTGTATTGGTGCCTCACCAAACTACAAATCCCAGGACTCCCTAGCATTGAGCCATGGCAGTTAAAATGGTGTCAAACTGCTTTAATCCTACAATGTAGATGCACCTTTAGTTTAACTGCCCCTTAAAAGACTGACCTGCTTCTGCTGGAGCTAGTAATCTGTTCAATATCGAAAAGCAACTTTTGGGTGAAGACAATAGCTTTATTATGGCTATTTGTAAGAACTACAGGGAACACTAACTCTGTTATACATAAAGTCAATACAGACTGAAACTTCAAAATTATTTATACTGTGGAGCAGAAGATGGCACCTCAGAACAGAGCTACCATATGGGATAATTGTTTTGAAATGAAATTCTGACTGCATATACCTGCAAGAAGTGAATGAGGTAACACAAGACCAATCTGTTGAGATCTGGCAGGAGGTCCACTACTGCTACAGCAGCATCAGGGTTCTCATAGTTGCTGATACACTCTTTGTAGAATTGCTGTGGAATTACAGGCTCCTCCAGTTCCCGATACCACAACTTCAGCAAAGAAGCTTCAAGAACAAGAAGAAAAAACATACACTTTTTAAAAAGGTATACCAGATGAACTCTCTAGCTTGGAGGATGTGTCTGCTGTTTGACAAGACATGTGGTAGTTACTGTTCCAAACTGGATCTTTCACAAAGAACGTAACATCATCCTAACTGACTCTGTTATTTCTCACAGGAAAGATACCATCATCTAATTTAATGAGAACTACAGCTTCAGACCTTTGAAAATTAAAGAACACAAATACTAAAGGGAAATGGGCAGCAGTTGTTCTTGGCTTCAGAAGCAAGTACTAAAAGTTCTGTAGAAGATGAAATGTGAGCAAAGAAACACAAGATATACAGATACATTAATCTAACAGAGAGCTCCATTCAAATTCTCAGGCTAAATGAATTGCAAAGCCTCTCAACATAGCTATGTAGCTGCTCCATACCTGGTATATTGGGATCACTCAAATTATTAGGAATCTTCCACTGATCCACTTGTAGTTTTAGAAGATTGACTTCATCTATGTCACCAGGAATTCTGTAAGAAGACACAAACAGCCAGAAATAAAATCCAGTAGTGAAAGCCCTGAATCACATCGTTCCAGAAACGAGGTACTAGTATAGATGAGGCTACATATATTCATTGGAGCACTTCTGACAGGCAGACACATACTGGCTTGATAAGAATACCACAGTTGGTGAGAAACAAATGAACCCGATAACAAAAAATTGCAGCTAGGAGCAATTCTAGTCAGGATTCTACCCAGCATCCTTGTTTCATGACATTCTGGTTCCACTTCCCCTGGACTTTCTCTTTTGTCCCAAATTTTGTTTTAACCCTTTCAATAGTCAGTCAATATACCATGGTAACTAAGCACATGGAACTCTCCCTAGCCTCTCTGTGCTTCCTCTTATTCCCCCCTCCCAATCTTTACCATAATTGTGCAAATTAAAACAACCCCCATATTTTGCTGGCTCTTCCCTTTTGTACATCAGTGTCATTGTTTTGATCACATAAAGATCAACACCAAGAATGCATTTATCAAAATAAGACACACTAGTATAATCAAAATGTTGGTGTGTGTGTGCGCGCACACACACATATGTATTTTTCTGGGAGTGTTGGCAATAGCAGAGATAAGTACAACCACAAAGTAATTCATTTTCTGTAACTATGATACTGATTTCTAGGCAGTTATTAATCAGAATCTGAATCAGAATAATGTAAGTGATCCTTTTTTCTTCGGATATGTTTGTAGCATTGCCACTGGTAGCCAATGAGCCCTGTAACTCCTGACACTTTTTTTGCAGTGCTATTTGCATTTGTCACTTTTTTCCAGATATGGTTCCTTGCTCTGCATCTTAGGGACAGAATGCAAACAAAAAACAAAACAACACATTCCTGATTTATTACTATTGCTCCTTGCTTTCTCAAACAAGAAGCCTAGAGCTATATCTATTCAGTGGAAGAAAAGGGAATGGGAGGAGTAGCTTCAGGAAACATCTATGTGTTTCCCACAATTTATCTTTCCCATCATAGCTACCTCCAGAGAAGATAGCAATAAATTGGATACTCATTGGTAGGGTTATAATACTGGAAAAGAAGGAGAGGCAAAACTGCTGATGAGTTTATAGCTTATAGCTCTTCCCATTTGAACATGCACTTGTTTAGACTAGTAATTGTAGCATCCTCTGATTTGGCTAGAAAGCAAAGAAAATCAATAGTCAATGGGAAGGGAAATTGAGAGACAGTTCATTTGCAACAGAGCTTCTCCCTAGATTGACCTGTTAACCAATGACTTCCAATCGATCGTAGTTTTTTTTCACTCCACTGGGGTTTAAGCTGGGCTTTGTGAAACTGTTTGAACCTTACAGAAAATGTCTATGACAATTTCTCTGCTAATGCATATTTTCAACAAGTTGACCAGAGCTAACATGTCTAACATGAGGGCTAACAAATTGAAATTGGATCCAGACAGGACAGAGGTCCTCCTAGTCAGTCAAAAGGCCAAACAGGGCATAGGGTTACAGCCTGTGTTGGATGGGTTTACACTCCCCCTGAAGACGCAGGTTCGCAGCTTGGGAGCGATCCTGGATTCATCGCTGAGCCTGGAACCCCAGGTTTCGGCAGTGGCCAGTAGAGCTTTTGCACAGTTAAAGCTTGTGCGCCAGCTGCGCCCGTATCTTGGGAAGTCTGATCTGGAAACAATGGTCCACGCTCTTATTACATCCCGAATAGATTACTGCAGTGCACTCTACGTGGGGCTGCCTTTGAACACTGTTCAGAAACTTCAACTAGTTCAACGGACTGCAGACAAATTACTAACTGGAGTGACATACAGGGAGCACACCACCCCCTTGTTTTGTCAGCTCCACTGGCTGCCGATCCACTTCTGAACTCAATTCAAAGTGCTGGTTTTGACATATAGAGCCCTATGGTTCTGGCCCAGCTTACTCGTCCAAACGCATCTCCCACTACATCCCACCTTGCATTTTAAGATCATCTGGGGAGACCCTGCTCTCACTCCCGCCAGCGTTGCATATACGTTTGACGAGAGACATGGCCTTCTTGGCTGTAGCCTCCCACCTGTGGAACTTGATTCCACAGGAGGGATGATCGGCTTCATCCCTCCTGTCCTTTAGGACGAAATTGAAGTCATGGTTCTGGGACCAGGCTTTTGGATAGCAGACATAAATAACGCTTTGGATATAGAATTTGACTGGAATGGTGATACGGCGGTTAATACTGTTTTTATTGTTTTAACTAATGTTCTATTTATTGTTTTAATTGTTGTTATATTGCTTTGTTATATTTAATGGTATCAAATTGTGCCAAATGTAAACCATCCTGAGTCCCCCTTCGGAGGCTGAGAAGGACGGGCTAGAAATGCTGGAAATAAATAAATAAATAAATAATCAATAAAAAAGGGTAAAATTTTGGTGAGGTAACAATTTTCACAAGCAATGTTTGCATTTCTGTAAATTTAAAGGGCCAGTGCTTTGAATGATAAAAGGCTCTTGCCATGCTCTACTATAGAACATCCTATCAAGATGGGAGTGTAAGTATTAAGCTAGAGGTGAAAACTTAAATGGACGCAATTGGTGCATTATGTTTTCATGGCTGGAGTTAGAATGGTCGCTGTTCACCTTTCACCCTTTCAGAAACAATGGCTCATCTTTGGGTTGTATCTGAAACAGATAATAACCACTCTTGTAACAGTGGGCAGTCTTGATCTTGCTGCTTCCATTTCAATCTGCCCTGATGCAAATGTATAAGCAGTAACATAAACTACTTAGAAGTAAATGTTGAGAAGTACAAACTGTCACAAATTCGTTTGCTGCAGTGGAGATATTGCTTCAAAGCATACAATTCTATGTGGATTTGAAGGAACAAATCTTGTGTGGCCAAATACATGCTAGATTTCACATCAATAGCATCAATAAGAAATAATCAATGTAGCTTCTTAGCTAAGCTCACCTGAATATTCCTTCAGTCTGTTCTCCACCCAGTTCTAGAACTTGCTGAGATAGCTGTGTCTGTACCCAAGGCAGCTTGTGATCTGGAAACATGTCCTGCTGCCGTAGCATGATTTCTTCCAGAGAGCTGCCGAACAGTGAAGGTGTAACAATAGCATTCTTGGCATGTATTATCTCCTCTATTGTAGGCTTTCGGAGGCCCTGTACACAAAACAAACAATAAAGTTTAACTGGCAATTAGTGGACACTGCATAAGAACCATCAATCACAGGGAGTGCTCCCAGCACCATCTTCTACAGAAGTGATTAGTTTGAGCTCCAACTTTCTAGTTAGCTGAATCAGTTTAACCTTCATCTCTTTGAATTTTTCATTCAATCTTAAGTAAGAATCCAATAATTAAAACTCAAGACAATCATAGAATCAGAGAGTTGGAAGAGACCTCGTGTGCCATCCAGTCCAACCCCCTACCAAGAAGCAGGAAAATCACATTCAAAGCATATTCAAGGTTACATGCCAAGACTTGAAGAGGTTCAGGGATACACTGAACTCAAGGCTCTTTACAATCAAACATGTGGAGACAAGCACTAAAACTGCATTTGGACATCACAGTAAGTCATCCTTATGGCATTATCAAAGGGAGGAGAGGTTTGGAATCTTTCAGTTGAGGTTTGGATTAAATACAATTTCTTATTTTATTTGAACTAGCAAATTCTGTTTAATATTTACTATTATATGTTTGAAAGAGGTGGACATGTTATCACTCCTAGAATAAGTGCTTCATGTGTACAGATTGCAAGACTAGGTAAAGGTTTTCCCTTGGCATTAAGTCTAGTCGTGTCCAACTCTGTGGAGTGGTGCTTAGCTCCTTTCCTAAGCCAAGGAGCCAGCATTGTCTGTTGACACCTCCAAGATCATGCGGCCAGCATGACTGCATGGAACGCCATTACCTTCTCACCAGAGCGGTAGCTATTGATCTACTCACATTTGCATGTTTTCAAACTGCTAGGTTGGCAAAAGCTGGGGCTAACAGTGGGAGCTCACCCCGCCCCCCAAAATCAAACCGCCGACCTTTCAGTCAGTAAGTCCTGCAGCTCAGTGGTTTAACCCGCTGTGCCCAATTACAAGACTGGCATATCTTAATTCTGAATATTGGAACAGTTTCTCATCTATCTCTTATAGGACTACTCAAGACAGATTAACATTTTAAGGACTTATGCCTTTTAAAAAGACAAATAGAAGATTTCAAATAATTCATTTCCAGTTTACCACAGATTTTGAATGAATGTATGCATCTATCCAAACAATCTTTCTTATACCTATCAGAATAACAGCAACAAATAAAGAACCCTAAGGTAATAAGGATAAAGGAAGAGTTCACTTAAACAACTAGACACGAATATCATGACTGACTCACCTTTTTGCCTCCAGTGACTGCAACCTTTTGCAGTTTCCGGTAACAGTATCTGGCATAAGTGCTGATCGGCAAGCCTAGCAGACAGAAATGAATAAATGTAAACAGCCTCAGAGTGGCACTGGAAATTTTCAGAGAGGAGAACATGGTTGCAGTACACACATTTCTGAAGATTCTCTATAACTGACCCTCAAACTTCCCTACTTAGGAAAATAAATGTTAAGCAAAGTCTGTTACTGTTTTACTGTGCAAGTAACTCATCCTTATAGTAAATCTTGCATTTCTTTATAAAACACCACTTTTGTCAGCATAGCACTCAAAGTATTTTTCTATAACAACAATAAAATATTTTGCAGTGATAGAAGGTGCATTTTCCTTGCTTACAAACATTACTATCTATCCCAAAAAACTGTATCATTATCTATATTTCTTTTGTTGTTGTTTTCAATGCAAAACCAAATTAGAAGTCCTGATCTGTTTGAGAAAGACAACTTTTCCCACTGTGATTTCCATTCTGTGACACATTTCTTTTAATATTTGTATGGAGAGGTAGTTGTTTTTAAATTTTATGGTCCCTTTCTTTATCACAAATTTCTCTGGTTTAAAAGATAAACAAAAAAGCCGTGAACAGAGAACAGTCTCTGCCCTACATTATGCAGAACTTTAATATAATACCAGCTTCTGCTGTGATTTCTACATATAATGGTGACCCATTGATTTCCTTAGATAATTGTTCCTCAGTGGAATAACTTTCAACATTGTACTTCTGCAATAGCATATAAGCATTCTCCAGCTGGAATGCCCCATATTACTAATTGAATTTTACTGCCTGAGGCAATATGGCTCAAGAGTTTATTTCACTGATGGGATTAAGAACAGGAAACACTTTTAAAAACCTAATGCTTTGCTACTGAAAATACTTTCTCTTTCGGTTGTTATAAGTTTTTTCGGGCTATATGGCCATGTTCTAGAGGCATTCTCTCCTGACATTTCGCCTACATCTATGGCAAGCATCCTCAGATAGATGCAGGCAAAATGTCAGGAGAGAATGCCTCTAGAACATGGCCATATAGCCCGAAAAAACTTACAACAACCCAGTGATTCCAGCCATGAAAGCCTTCGACAATACATATTTTCTATTTGCTGATACACCATATATAGGTTGTGTGTCTGACAAATGTGAAGCACAGTTGATGGAGAATGACATGCCAGCATCACTGAAAAGGCCATGGTGTGATTAGTATCTCAGGACATGAACATCTTACTTTGGAAATATGGATTCAACTAATTGTTGTAGTATCATATCAACTGATTCTTATTAATGCATTTTTATTCCATGCTGGAAATCAAAGGCCAGCCTCCTAAATCATTTATTTTCCAGTTGAAATCCAATTCATTCCAGCATGACTTTTGTTGACATAGTGCTTTCTTGATGGCATTAAGGAAACATCAACAATTTTTTCAATTAGATTGGGAATTCCATGTTACAAGAACTTTCTGTTCTTCTGCACTTCCAGAAACAGGGTTATTGTACAAAAGCCAGAGTGAAAAAGACTGAAGTAGACTGGGTATTATGAAAAACAAGACGGCCAAGTTCTGGGGGACACAAAATTATTTCAAGATGGTAACAATAAGAAGAACTGGGCAGTGTTCCAAATGGATTCCCCCTAAATGACAAAATGGCAAATGCAAGTGTAAAACAGAAATTGGGCTACATGTGAGTCTTAAAGCCATTTTTGGGGACTCCTAGCCTCCATGCACAATTTCTAAAAAATCAAAATGCTTCTCATAGGAGAAGGGGATATTTCATCATTTCCCCCCTGTTTTAGGTCCAGGAGATGAATCTTTTTAAAAGCAGGAAATACACTGGAAGTCACTTAGGTGATATGAGTATGCAGTGAAAAGGGTGAGTAGGTATCACAAGAACTGAAAATACGAACGCCAATTATAAAGTTATACATAAATCAGTTGTGCAACCATGGGCTTCATCTCAAAAAGGGTGTTGTAGAGAGGTCAATGACAGAGAAATGGACTAGCAAAAGGAATAGAGAATTGGAGAAACTTGCCTATGAATAAACGACCTCTGAATCTGGTAAAATGGCAAGAGGAGAAGAGAGAAACATGGCAGAAATGTATAGAATATGTATGATATGGATAAAGAAGAGAGAGAAAATTCTTATTCTGTTGATAATCCTAGAATCTGGTAGTATCAGAACTAGTAATGTAGATTTAAAGGCAGAGATTTAAGATAAACAGAAGAAAACAGAGGTAAATGGAGGAACTCTCAACCCTAAGATGTGATGACTGCCTACACAGATGGTTTTAAAAGAGGGTTTAGCACATACATGGAGAATAACGGTTATGTATTAGTGTCTACCAGTCACAATAACTACATACTACTTCTAGGATTAAAGGTATTCATACTTCAAAACATCAGCTGCTGGAAGACAATATTGTGATAGGCCCTTTTCCTTCACTTCCTGTCTGTGGGAATTCTGGGTGGCAGCTGTAGGAATAAACTGCTGGACTTTATTATATTTTTCCTACCATTGAGGAAGTCACTAGGACATTCTGACTTGTGAGGTTTTTTGGGGTTACTTCCATCAGAAGTCTTTTTTAAAAAACCAAGAGAGACAAACAGAAGCAGGAGCAAGTCAGTCTATATACGTACAACAATATTATTATACTCAGTGCCCAGATAACATACTGAAACGCAAAGCCACCTAAAATAAAGCAAGAAATGACTTCTATAGATTCTTTAAATTCTTAAACATTATTTGAATATAATTCAACTAATTTAAAAGAAAATGAAGAGTCCAGTGCGAAAAGATGCTCATTTAGAGTTAGGTAAGGTGGAAAAGTAACAGTTTGTTTGATTTTACTTCTTCTTAGTTGTTTTGGAATTAGTATCACCTACAGATTTAATTCAGACTGCTCAAGCTCCAAAAGGAGGGGAAAGCAGCTCTCTACTCTAAACACAGAGGAGAAATAAAACATATGACCCAATTAGTTCTTCCACTGGACTTCCATGTGGTTAAGAGCAAATGATTAACTAATGCCACCAGGATGAAGGGATACAGATTGTTTCAACGAGGCTGCAACTGCATACATATTTATTTGGAAATATGTTCAACTGAAATAAATCAGTCCTTAAACAAATTTTACCAGCAGCAATTTTGCATTTCTCTCCATTCCTGAAATGTTGGTGTTTGCAGAAGCCCTGGATTTGATTTTTCTACAATAAAACACATACAACTATACCTGAAATTGACAGTATACACAGACATATGTAACTGTGTCTCCTCATCATTAGCCCTCCTCATAATCCAGGGTGTTTTTACCTTCGTCCTCTGTGTTTTGCTTCCTCTTTTTCCTGGATTTTGAGTTCTTTTTGTTTTTCAGATCCAGAAGCTCCTTAATGCGGTGTGCAACTGAAAATCCAAAGCATCATTGAGTGATGGCAAAAACATAAATCCACCTTTACATGGTGAGACATGGCAGAACAAGGGCCTGTGTTTACTGAATTTACTCATCACAATGTTTGTGCCACACTTTTTTTTTGCTCTTTTGTTAGAAATCATCAAGCTCGGAAACATGGGGTTGAGGAGCAAGCTGAATACTAAATCAATTAAATTGAAATAAGTTTCAAAATAAGTTTCAACATTTTTTCATACACCATTTCTTTTACTAAACCTCAGTTGGCAAATTTAGAATTCCCAGCCTTTAATATTTTTGAAAATGATGGCTCAAGTCAGATAAATGGAGAGAATCACAAGCCATGTTAAAGAATGATAGCCAAAACAGCTTCATTACTAGCCTAGGATGTAGATAGTAGATGGAAAAGCACACAGATGAGTTGTATTTGTCAAGGTGTCCTTCAGCTACAGAGAGATGTTGTGAATCTTGGTGTGAATTCATTTTATATGTAGTTCACAACAAAATTGACTTATTCCCACACTTTCAAAAGTATATCTCTTTATGTAAAGATATCTAGGAATGAATTTCTTTGTGTTCTTTATCATCTTATAAATTCAAATAATTGGTTAATTATATATTGAAGTAAACTCCTTAATGTCAGGTAGCATGTTGATTTCCCCCTTCCCATAATCCAATAGGCCTGGCTTCTTCACCTGGTGGCCCTCCAGATGTTTGGGCCCCAAACTCCTTAACCAGCTTGTTCAATGGTCAGGAATTCTGGGAGCTGAAGTAGAAAACATCTGGAGAGCTGCAGGTTGAAGAAGCCTGCTATAGGCCATCAATCTATTCAAGTGGGCTATGAAACCCTAGAAAGGTTTTCAAGTTACATAATGGACTGTTGGTGACAGAAGAAGGGAAATAGAAGAACCCGCAGGGCTAGCATACTTTTACTAGGATAACACTTAATTTAATCCTTTGGTTCCTATAAGCTCACTCTATGAAGATTAAAAAAGAATCTACTTTTCTAAATAGTTGACAAAGCATCCTAATTAATTCTATCCTTTCTAAAACAATTTATTTTCCTCAGAATACAGAATGCGTTCAGAACACACGGTACATGGTGAGAGGGGAAAAGGACCCATTACACTTTCTACAGTATTTTACTTGGAGAAAAGAGATTTTTCAGCTTTTCAACAATATAACATCAACTTCTCAAATGTATATTCAGGAAACAGAGCAACATAAAAGCAAATCTAGCAATTTTGTCACAGTTATGCGCTAGCTGTAATCTAGAAAGAAAGAGAAGTGATAGAAATAATTTATACTTATTGCCATGATCCTTAGAATCCTTATTATTAATATCTTAGGAGGAATCTGCATATTTCTACTTGTTACTAAAAATATAAAGCTTTTTATTCATTTAATTTAACTGGACCTCTGCTACTTAGTCCGCCACTTGAACTAAGGTACTTTTATTATCTTAACCTTGGGCTATTAATGTCAATCTGCAGTGCCAAATATATCAAATTATTAATAACATATATTACTTTTTTGCCTATGCTTTCTTGCAGACTGAGGTGAATGAAAGCAGAGCTCGAACAGAATCGATATTTCATTTATATCTGCTGTTGCATTTCCTCCTTGGTGGGGAAGGAACTTACTGTTTTCATCGTTGACCTGGCTGAGGTGACGATAGATGTAACCTTCCAGATAAGACTGGAACTTAGGCGATGGTGAGAAAAAGGCCAGACTGATGGCCATGAGTTCCCAGCCCCATGCTAGGCCGCGATAACACATATTGTCTGTTGTTTGTCTGATTAGCTGGATATATAGCTCATCCCGTAAGCCTTGAATGGTCCAGCACTTGGTGATGGTGATCAAAGCCACATGTTCTCGGTCCATCCGGGCTTGCCGATCCCCCATGTAGATCTGTACCAGTTTAAACATTTCACAAGCTTCTTTTTTGATAGTATGGTTGCTGGTGATGAGCATTGGCTTTTTGATGGAGCCGCCATTCCAAGAGAGCATGTTGGCGATGGAGAGCCTTCGGCGAAATATACCCTGAGTGTGCATATTTAAGTTTTTGGAAGCCCAGTCAGCCATGCTACTTTGAGAAATGGGCTTCCTTATGGTGTGGAAGGGAAATTGGTAGCCCATGTTTGTAGAAGGCTGGTCATTGTTTTCTTGCTGGGAATCAGACTCCATTGTGCCAGACTGCAATGGAGAACAGATAGAATATTACAGGGAAAGAAATCATCTTGGCTGTTCACTTTTCACATGCAGAATAGCTAACAACCAATCCCTCCTCAAGGGAGAGTAAAACCATTACAGAAAGCTTTGTTTATTTCAGGCTTAAAAAGTCTAATCTCTTAAGTAAAATATTGTTAATCTAAACAATGCATTTAATTCCCACTTCCACACTTCTGGTTTCACCCTCTGCAAAATTCAACCCAAATCTACCCTACTTATTTCTAACAGGTTCTCAGAAGCTCCAACCTTCCCTCCAAAAGGGTTCTTCTTGAGTATTCATCATGGTACTGAACAGTGACTTGAGAATTCTACATAAGCATATTAATGATAATTATATTTCTTCTGCTTTGCTTATGTGGAGCTATAGTCTCTGTGCAAAGCTAAAAATGGCAAATGACTTTAATCTACAGCCAATATGGAAAGTCAACTAGCCAAGAAAGTACTTTCCATCTTGCTTTCTGTAACATAACATGCATCCATGTTTATTTCATTTATTGGTGGGGGGTGAGCAAGAATGGAAATCTATCTTTCTGGTGTAAAAACACCACTGAAAACATGAAACCTTAAAACACAAGAGGTTGGAGACAGGATACCCAGAACGAAAGCACAATTTGGAAGCAGCCGACAATGGTGGCTCAACATAAGGAGAACAAAGAAGTAGTGGGAATATTTCAATTCTATAAAGAATTCAGTATGTTCCACTGAGTATCATTGCCCACCAATTTCTCTCCAGCCCAATGACATTCTAATGCCCAGAGAGGTGGCTCTTTCAGTAATCTAGAAAAATGTCAGATCTACTCCCAGCTTCATGAATTTATACAATAAGCACTCTTTTCTAAATAATGCTAACAGAGTCACAGTGACCTCTTGATTAACTAAGATCTTTTTCATTCAGTTCCCACCGCCGCCACCACCACAACCATCCAATCATTGTTCAGTGACACTGGAACAACTCAACCAACTTAGTTACTTACTTAGGTGATCCCCTGTAGCCCATAAGTAAGTAAGTTAGTTCTGTGATATTGGAACAACTCAACCAACAACTTCCAGGGGTTTCATCCATCTCAATAAACATTGAACATCTTTCTATCCAATCAGTCTAATTATGATAAAAAATATACCTGGGGTGATGTTTGTGTTCTGTCTGATGAAGACAGGTTTGTCTGACTTGCCTTGTTCTTTTCTAAAGAATCTATTTTTTCATAGGTTCTCTTTTGCCTCACAGTATCTTGCTGTACAGTTGGGTCATTTGAGGCACTTGCCCTACTGTCCATTCTAGGCCTGTATAAGGACCTGTTACTAGAAGTCACATCATCTCTTGAGCTCCTGCTGTTACACTTTTTCAAGCGTTCTGATTGAAACTTAATTTTATTGACCTCTGGCAAACTAGCATTTTCCAGCATTTCTGCATCTAAGCTGCCTTTACTCCCTCTGCAAGTGGCAGACCTATTCACCACAGCCCGCATCTCTGCAATTAGCTTATCGTTCAGAGCACTGAGTTCACTGCTACTGCCTACAGAGCCGGGCCTTCCCTGGCCTGGAGCTTGCCGTCTCCCTTTTCTCTTTCTCAGGCTTGGAGAAGGTCCTGTCGAGTAGCCTGAATCTTGCTGACTTATAACTGTAGGATATTCTTGCGCTTGAAGACTGTTTTGCCGACAGTGGTGAGCCTCCATATTTTTGAGAACATTTGCTTCTAAGACTTTCCAAGACTGCTTGAAGCTGTCTCTGGAAATAAGCTGCCCTAGCTGTGGTTTAGCAATGCCTTCAATGTGCATCACTGGAGAGTGAGTGTTCTTGGATGTTTGATCAATGTTGACCATATGTTTAATATATTCTCTTCCAACAGGGCTGTATTCTGTTGCAGATGGGCTTCTCACATGTTTTTTCCCAGCTTGGTGTTGCTGCATACTTGGATGCTGTAATAATTTAACTGGTTGGGGCTTCTTTTTCAAGCTATTGCTTGGTGACATTTGTGGTGTTATCCCATTCACATTTGCACTTCCAGTGTCCATATCTACAGGAGGTTCATCATAAATCGGGGAGTCAATTGATGGCTCATCATATATTGGTGCTGGCGAAGCATACTTTGGAGATGCAGGCTGTGGTGTTCGTGTCTGACTCCCTGAAGGAGGCTGAGAAGGGAGTCCATTAGTTAATACTAGGCAAAAACCACCATTCTCCGTCTTCTTAATTTGCATGGACTGCTTTGTTTCAACTGGAGCTGCAGGTTTTGGAGCCAACGAGCTTGGTGTTACAGACTGAGGTTGGGCATATACAACTGGTTTTGGCTGCAGAGATTTCTGACTGCTGGTTTCTGCATTGCTCTGCATTTGAAGTAAATTGCTTGAAGAAGAATTCACTTGTCTCAGACTGTTGACTTTGACCAGCATGGCTGCCTTAGTGCCTGGTAAAGGCTGCCACCGAGTAGGAGTATCTCTGCAAAAAATTAAAACACAATGCTTAGAATAATAAAACAAAAACACTACACTGGATTCATATATAAAATTTATATCTGAATTCCTAAGTGTTGTATGTCTATATCTTGCCTTTTATTATTTATTATTTATTACTGCGCTTGTATACCGCTGTTTCTCAGCCTAAATTGGCGACTCAACGCGGTTTACAACACTACAACAATCAACAATATTCAATTTAAAAAGCATAAAAAACACATACACAATACACAGTATTGGGCCACCAATACAAACCAATGCATCTCTTAACTAAAATCATAATCCAATTTAATCGTCTGTGAATTACCAGTCCTTGACCATTCTTCAAATGTTTCTGTTGTTTCAGCTTGTTTAAACATCCATGTCTTCAACCTTTTTCGAAATACCATCAGCGAAGGGGCTGATCTTACCTCTATGGGGAGGGCATTCCAAAGCCGAGGGGCCACCACAGAAAAGGCCCTGTCTCTCGTCCCCGCCAGCCGCACCTGTGAAGCAGGCGGGATAGAGAGCAGGGCCTCCCCAGAAGATCTTAGGGTCCTGGTGGGCTGATAGGCCGAGATACGTTCGGATAGGTAGGTTGGGCCAGAACCGTTTAGGGCTTTAAAGGCCAACGCCAGCACTTTGAATTGAGCCCGGTAACAAATCGGCAGCCAGTGGAGCTGGTGCAGCAGAGGAGTTGTATGCTCCCTGCGCCCCGCTCCTGTTAGTATCATGGCTGCCGCCCGTTGGACTAATTGGAGCTTTTAGCGACAGTGGTGCTCAAGATGGTTAATACATTGGAAAATAACTTTCTAATTAGCCCACCAAGTTATACATCTGGTAGGTTTCTTTTAGTAGTATCATGTAATTTATTATATTCCCCAATTAACACAGGATGAAAAATATCATTTAGTAAAATAGGTCATTGGAATTCACTAGAATGGGCATCTTCTCTCTTTCTCAGATTCAGTGAAACAGGAACATCTGCTTGATTCAGAAAGAGGAGGGTTAGGAATGGAAGAAATACATTACATAACTGTTGTTAGGCAAGTGAGCAAGAGAAAGATCTTCCTGGAGATCAGGTCAAGAGCTCAAGAAACAACAAATGTAAAAAATGTACAAGAAAGAGGAAAGTGAGTCTTGGAAGGGGGGAGAACTTGATTTGTCTTGAGACCAGGGCTATTTGGCAGCCAGAATCCTTCAAAACAGAAGGGCCTTTAGACTTGAAAGGCATGTTTCCCTTGAATCCCATGGAATCTTGGGAACTGGAACGGGTGCATTGGTTTTTTTTTTTAAAAAAAACTCCTTCTCTATTGATTGTATCCTGGACTGGTTTTCATTCATAAAGCTCTCTCAATTGGGAGACAGTTTGGGAGCAATTAACAACCCATTGTATTTCCATCTCCACATAATTATCCAACTGCCACACTGTAGCAAGTCTTTTTTTTTGCCTTCTGTTGTTACAATGACCAATCTTATTTCCATTTGTCTTCTCCCTCTTTTAGAAATCACACCTCTCTTGCTCATTTAGTTAATTTACTGTATTTAGTAGTTGCCTTATAAACATAAACACACCCAATAATAAATATATCCTGGTTTAAAACTATTTAGGCTTTTCCTATGTTTATGTCAGGATTATTACAGCCGCGAGTGGAAAATAACCAATCATAATAACAACAGGAAAATGCAGGTGTCAGGACATTTGTCTCCTATCAGAAATACAACGTAAAGAAATACAATGTAAAGGTGAGTTTTGGCAAACCCCTCCTCAGCACAGGTGTGATTCTATAAAGCACCAAAGTACCAAGTTCTGAAATTCGGAGCACTAAGTATGTTTTACTGCCCTATTTTCCAGTGGTCAGTAAAGAAAACAAAAACAGATTTTTGCCATCCATAGATAACTGGGCGTGATGTGGGCGAAGAGATGATGACAATGATTTTGGTCACTTTTTTCAAAGAAAAAAAAACTTGGTTGCTGTGAGTTTTCCGGGCTATATAGCCATACAGCCCAAAAAAACTCACAGCAATCCAGGGATTCTGGCCATGAAAGCCTTTGACAACACACACACACACACACACACACACACAAAATCTACTTGTAAAGGTGAGTTTTGGCAAACCCCTCCTCAGCACATGCTCCCCTAATGAACAAAAAACACAGGTGTTCAACACCTGCGTCCTTCCCTGTGTACATAGTAACAGTTATCTATTTTATTTCTATACATATTTGGTAGGGACTACAATAAAAGACAGGTAATTCAGCTTGGCAAAGGTGAGTCATTGGAGAAAGTCAAATTGCTGGCAATAAACTATTTTGTCTTTCAGACCAACAAATCAGAAACAAAGAAAATTATTTCACAAATCTCATGTCATTGTGGTGGGTTTGAGAGCAGAGAGGAAGGGAAAGTGAAATACTGATTTCATTCTGGACAAATGCTGTACATTTGTCCAAAGAAGAATACCTAGCAATAACTAGATGTAAACTTTCTCTTCAAAGCTGCCAAATATGTTTGAACCTAATATGAATTATAATATCCCTAAACTGTTTTCTATCTTTAATATAAGTATTCTCTCAAGAAGGCACAAAAAACTACATCTCTATATTATGACAGTATGCATATAAAATAGAAGACAAATAAAAACCACAACCTAAGGTACATTATATAGATAAAATGAAGGCAATAAGATTAGACTTGTTAGTATGTTAGATAATAAAGCTTGAAGTCAAAATGATGGCAGCATCAAATGTAAATATTTGATCACATATATACCAATAAGGAGTTCAATTAAGTTCTGTATCTTGGGAGATCATGAAATCATCATTTTTAAAAACAATGACCCATCAACAGCCCAGGGAGAATCTCAAACTTTCCAAAACCACCAATAAAACAAATAAGCTCTGCAGCCTTTAGGACAAATTCCTAAAATGTTATCTCTCCAAAACATTCTAAAGAGAACTACGTCTGTCTCGATGGTCAGAGAATTCCATTGGTCTGTTGAAAGCAGGAAATTGGAAAATTAGGTGGAGGAAGAGCTGAATGGTCTGAAACCTATACCGAGGTCCACATTTGCTCGGTAAACAATATTACCCGACTAAGCAATTATGTCAGAAAGGATTCATTCTAATCAGATATGCACACTAGCAAATAGGATAGTTAAATAAGAATTAATCTAAACATCACTGGAATACACGTCAGCATCAAAGTAGCATAAGGATTTCCAGGCAAACAGCATCTGCAAATTCTTTAATGAACTGCTTGCACAACAGAATTATCCAGAAACAAAACTCTCATGTCAAAGCGGCAGAGGATTGAAGTTGCGAGCAGTCCAAATAAACAGTCACAAGTGGAAGGACTTCAATATGCAGTTTTTATCTTCTGAAACATTAGTAGTAACGATGATGCAGAAGAGTTAATTTGATTGCTCCTAATAAGTATTTTTAGCTTTGTCAGTTATGAGCGGAAGCATTTTTATTTCAAAACAAAGGAATATAGGGAAACATACAATGCTGCATCCTGCTCACAAAAGGATACAACTGTGTTCAGGACAATCACAATATCCTTAATGGAAACTGGCATGGCAGTTTGAGTTTGGTCAGGAAAAGCCTATGGAGATGTAAGAAGCACTGTTTCCAACACAAAGCTTTTTATTACTCAAAACTGTAATTGCCACAGCTCCAAATGGCTGAAAAATACAAAGCTACTCTGGAACAATTCCTCTTAACTTGATATGTCATTCCCTCCTTTCCTAATAAATCTTAAAAAGTACATAATCTAAAAAAGTGGGGACAAAGGAATGGACTTACGTATTCCGAACCTTCAACTGATGAATTTTCTTTAAATCACAACTCTTTGACTTGACTACTAATGCAATAATGTTAGAATTTTGAAAATTTGGGAGTATAAATCACAGAATCCTCAAGCAACCTGACCAGTGGCCATGGTGACTGGATAGTTCTGGGAACTGAAGTCAAAAATAACTTTTACACACTGTGATTATTGTCCTCTGAAAGTTGGTCTGAAGATGAAAGATAGTGCTTAAGAATATCACGTATATTCATCTGAGATCCATAAAAGAATGGTAGAATAAAATATAGGACTTATAAAAAAAAACACATATTTCAGATGCATCCAGTCCACAATCTCTCCAATGAACAATTCACATAAAGTTTTGCATTTCAAATGTAGTTTATATAATATGTTATACAAACTGTTTTTGAGTAGTGCAGTCTTTGGATGCTGTTCAGACAGAGGGTTCCCAAAGCTCAAAAAGAACACACTGTTCAGCTATTTTGACTTTTTTTCAAACACAAACAGAAAAACAAAAGAGGGAAAGCAATTGCAACAAATGGGAGGATGACAAATTGAAGATAATACAGCCAACCTCCTGCAAATGTTTATGAATGAAGTACTGTGACAGCAAAGTAAAATTCTTGTCTGGAAGATAAATTGACTGACCTGATTCAAGTTCCGTTCATTTAGAAATCTTGAAATTAATGGTACTCAAGCCACACTTTAACTCATATAACATGTAAGCTCTCACTGAGCCCAACCAAATTACTCATACAACATGTTATACGTGTATTTTAAAAGATATGGGGGAGATACACTATAGGCATGAAAGGTTGCTCAACACCTAAATGCTCCAAACATGGTTTCATACGTTTGAATAAATGGTCTGGATTTCATTTGCATTTTGGACATTCACAGTGGTCACCATCCCGAATTTAGTATTAACTCTTTGTATATTGTGTGCAAGTTTGAACCAAGAAAGAATAGAACTTAGAAAGCCCCAGGGAGATGGATTCCATTCCATTTCCACAAGTTAAGCTGGACCTTTCTTTTCCCCACAAGCTCCTCTGAAGTCACACAATTCACTTCGTTCTGCTGAACAGATATTCTAGCCCTCAGAAAGGCATTTTCAGGGTTCTTCTGGAAAACTGTGTGAAAACACAATACTCTGCAGGAAAACACATCACTCTGCAATGTCAAAGCACAGTAGCTTTCTAACAAAACAAGATGGACTTTTAAAGAAATCACACAAGTGTGCATGTGTCAAGACTAAACTGTAGGAAATCAGTATGTCTAATTGAAGGCTGTTGCCTTGCTATTTTAAGCACCACTTTCTTCCTCCCTCTGTGAAAGCTGCTCTTTGAACGTCTCATCCACCTGCCATGTTGTTGAAACTTGAGAACTCTAAATGTAATAAACTGATAGGTTAGAACAGATGCATCCCAATACCACCAGAGGAAAAGCAAGCCTGCCAACTTGGGCAATTCTATTACATCTTACCAGCTTTCAGTTAGAAAAATAGCTGCATAGGTGCCAACTCTACACATGTTTGTCAAAACTGCAAAAGGGCTTGTGTTTTGCACCGTTATTAGACAGGTGTTCCATTGGTTTTGTATAGTTGTCTTTGTTCATATCAGAAGATAATTTTAAAAACCTCATAGGCAGCTGTTCATACAGGATTCAGTGAACTTTGCAAGCTATGACCTCATAGTATTTTGTCTGCACTTCTGTCTCAATGTGCTTTATCAACATTTTGTGTAGTTATTCCTATTTATTTTCCTTTAACTACATAATTTTAGTATTCTCAGACCCACTGCTATAGACAGAAGAATGAACAGAAAGGGTCTGACCAATGACTCCAAATTTTACCATAGTTCAGATAAGATTTGTTAATGACAGATACTCAGTGAGTGGGAAAGCAAGAACTGCCATATAGCTTTTAAGACTGGATCAAGAAACAAGGTCAGGAAAAGCCTATGAAGATGCATAAAGTTGGCACTCCTGCATACAGAACTTCTCTTTTAAAAAGGCAGACAGTATTTTTTTAAAAAAGGAATATCATTAATCCAGCTAGCAAATATTTATTCTGTCATCCTGAAATATCTTCGCAGAAAGAGATCACTCTGGAAATAACAACTTGGTATATTTAGATTTTTTAAAAGAGATTATATGCCTAACACTGGGAGAAAATATTGTTTCTTGTCTTTTGGTCAATGATACTATGGATAGTTTTCTTTTCCTGTGAACAACCAACAGAAACAGGCAACTTCACTCAAACTTTGAGTCACAAGGAATGATGTTCCCTTAGTTTCAAGAACAGAGTTGTCTATACAGTACTGATCAGAAGACAATGACTGGAGCTCTTGTCTTGTTTTGCAGTGTTGAATCTTCAAATGGGTTGCAATTAAAATAAATCCCTTGTGTCGATACACTTTGGAAACAATCAATGTTGGTGAAAACCCCCCAGAAGAGACCACTTAAGACTCAGCCTGGGAATAGGATTAAGAGGCTACTATTTATAAGACAAGAAGGCAAAATATTATCCATTTTTATTCTGGTAGAGCCCCAATGCTTCTGTATCACTGTTAAATTGCGGGACTTACCAGCTTTCCGCAGGGCATGTAAGACATACCTGTTTCGACAGGCTTTTAATGTTTGATATTGTTGTTTTTAAATTGTTTTAAATTTCTTTTAAATTTTGTTAGATTTTAGCTATTCTTGTAAGCCGCTCCGAGCCCCAGGGGAGTGGCGGCATATAAGTTTAAATAATAAATAAATAATAAATAAATAAATTTCATATCTTACTTATTATCTAATCTATTGTCCTTAAAAATGCAGATGTGCCAAGGATAAAAAGCCTGGCAATCTTATAAGCACATTGGCGTATGATATTAACAAATGAAATTTGTCAAAAAAGACTCAAGGCCCGAATTAGATGTAAACTTGTTATTTTTTTACTTGTACAGTCAATGCTACCCAGCAATCAAATTATGCACCTCTACAACATCTCACATAGAAGACAGTGCCCTAAGCAAGGTTTAGCAGACCTGCAGGAGCCAATAATTAAAATGATTGTGAGTAGATTACAATGCCTCTTCCTCTTGCAGGGTGCTCATTCAGATTTAAAAACATGTTATGTCAAAGAAAAAAAAAACAAGGACCCATTCAGTCCTTCATTACAATCACTATACAGAAATAATGCCATCTTTCACCACCAGAGATGTTAAAATAACTTCACATGTCCCATGGGTTGCTCTTTTGAACTTAATCACTAGATAGGTCATGCCCAGAAAATAAATTGCTCCTGACTCTTTCATTATGTCAACATATAAGCCTGTAAGTTAACTTTCAGATAGAGGGGTAAAAAACATGCCAACTGTGCTCATAGCTTCTGGCAGTACCTTACACATAATTTTTACAAGCAGATGAAAGGCAGGAAACTGTTCCTGGAATGCCTACATTCACTATAAAGTGGCAGATTTCAGAAATCTCTTCCTCTGGTTGGTTAGCTGAAAGTCAAAGCACACACTAAAAATCTGAGTGCCCACCTGCAAATTGTGTATATTATACGTATTCAGTTTAAAATTGTGATAACAGAAGGAATTGTTACTTATCTGTAACCGTGTTCCTTCGAGTGGTCATCTGTGAAATCCGCATATCGGGTACTTATTGCCATATGTGCCATTTTACAGAGACAATGATGAAGAAGGAATGGTTGCTTACTTGTAAACTTTAAGTGGTCATCTGTGAAATCCGCACACATGGCAATAACAACCATATGTGCGGTTTCAGAGACCATGATGAAGAAAAAGGAAAGACAGAAGTTATTTTTTTAAAATCAGAAATACTGTTTTGACTGGATTGTCCTGAGGACAAAAAATGCAGAAAAATGCCTAGACAGGACCAAGTGGTGTGCTACTTCTTACAAAATACCTCACATCAGTTGACAAAGAATGTAAAAGAAAAAAAGCTAAAGTGTGAACTAATTAAACGAGAATCCATTTATTGTATCCTTAGTAAGTTGTTGATATGCTCAAGGATATGACTTTCAGCACTTCTCTGCATGCCTCTAGAGAAATAGTCCAACAAAGCTTATCCAAGAGAACGAAAGAAAGAATCAGGCTGACAGCTGCAGTCTGAAAAAAGGATTTTGTTGTTCTAAGTTACAGCCAAAAGCTGGGAGCTCTGCTTTAAGGAATGTCATCTCAGTTTTCAGAGTGTTATAGCTATGTTAATCAAACTAAATAGGGAGCAGAACCACTTCAGAAACTATGTATCTATGGGTATGAGCTTCTGGTAACAACATGGCACAGCCTGATATATATACTCTGTGTGTGTGTGTATTTGTACAACAACTCCTAGGGGGTCAAGTAGCCAAACAGGTTGGATGATTCTAGGAGATAACAATTTAGTTATAGCTATAGCTTCTGGGATCTTTCATCAACAGCAAACCAAGGAAAAAGAAAGAGCATCTAAAATTTCCATTTGTGTTCATAGTAACCTTGCAAAACACAGAAGAAATGAAGGAGACAAGGTAAGTATTAAAAACGAATCAGTGATAGCACACAACAGTCTTGTCATAGCCACCAAGACATTTTAAAAAAATCATGACAGATGCTACATTTGTGCACCTAATTTCTGTACCCTTTTTATAGTAAACAATAAACATATCTTTATGAAGTTTGGCTCTAATTATAATCCTTTACATAAGAACATGTAAAGAGCACAAATTACCTATCTACAAAATGAGAATTTAAGACTGTAATCTTATACACATTTATCTGGGAGTAAATATCATTAAATAAAGTGAGGGTTATTTTTGATAAGCACCCATAAATTTGGACAGCAAAGCTCTTATATCCATGGTAATCTCAAGAAAAATATTAGAAAATTAGATCTTCATTTATATTGTGCCACATTTCCCAAACTAAAAAAACCCCCACAAATCTGATGAAAGTGTGTTCAATCTATATGTATAAAAATGCTCTGTTCGTTTTGAGTGACATTATAACTCTAAAACCACTGGACAAATTGCCACCAAATTTGGCCACAAGACACCTACTAACCCAAGGAGTGACCATCACTCAAAAAATTGATTTTGTCATTTGGGAGTTGTAGTTGCTGGGATTTATAGTTCACCTACAATCAAAGAGCATTCTGAACTCCACCAATGATGGAATTGAACCAAACTTGGCACACAGAACTCCCATGACCAACAGAAAATACTGAAGGGTTTGGTGGGCATTGACCTTGAGTTTGGGAGTTGTAGATCCAGAGAGCACTGTGGACTCAAAAAATGATGGATCTAGACCAAACTTGGCACGAATATTCCATATACCCAAATATGAACACAGATGGAGTTTGGGGGAAGACCTTGACATTTGGGAGTTGTAGTTACCGGGATTTATAGTTCACCTACAATCAAAGAACATTCTGAACCCCACTAACAACAGAATTGGGTCAAACTTCCCACACAGAACCCCAATGACCAACAGAAAATACTGTGTTTTCTTATGGTCTTTGGTGACCCTTCTGACACCCCTTGCAACCCCCCAGTGGTCTGACCCCCAGATTGAGAAATGCTGCCTTAAGGCCATCCAGTCCAACTCCCTTCACCAGGGCAAGAAAACATAATCAAGCCCTCCTGACAAAGAGCCATCCAGCCATATATATAGATAGATATAATTCACACACATATATACATGTATATGACAGATATGTATCATAGATTTGAAAGGAGCCTAAGAAGGACAATTATATGTTGCATGTTCCAGAGTAGGCAAACCAGACAATCTCCACATCAACACTGACAAAGAAACAACAAGAAGTACTGTTTACCACAAGCATAAAGAAATTACATATATTAGAAACCAACACTTTCTCATTACTTTATTTTCCAGATCACCAGACTGGGCCACAGCAACATGTGGCAGGGGACGGCTAGTGTTTTATAACTGCATGTTTTAATTTTGTAATTTTGTCTTTCACACATAAACTAGGTTCAGTTTAATGTCTTCTGATAACTTATTATTAGACTTTTTAAAAAGTAGTGACATTCCTTATCACAATGAACAGTCAGACTGACAATAAAACTATTCTTGACCTATTTTTTTTCCTGAAACTAGGGATATGAACATATTAAATAGCTGCAAAACTGTAATATGTGGAGGTCATTTACCTTCCAGTCTCTGATCTTTTCTCCAGGCTGTTATTTTCTTTACCCTTCTCCATTTCTTGAACAAGAGCCATTTGGATAGGAGTGTTCCGCCCATCGCTACTTGTGCTGCTCCGGTGCTGGGATGTCCTGAAGTCAGACTGGGAATTGCGTTTCATGGCTTGGAGCTGAGCCAGAGGCACAATGTCACAGCCCTGTGGCCTGTGCCATACTGTCTGCTGTGTAATGGCATTATAGTAGTAAAAGCGGTTGTTGTTTTGGTCAAAGAGCTCCCACCACTGGTTCTCATCAGATTGGCGAACTCTGAGGTTGGCTGGAGCATCCCAACCACACTCTCCAGTTGTCAAGTTGACATACATTCGCTCCCGAGAACGGGGTTCAATGATCTCCACCCAATCTGAACTGAAATAACAAAAACAGGGCACCATTAGTCTGGTCTGAAATAACAGGGTAATCACATCAGCACTAGGTTTGGTATCTGTGGTCACCTACACATGTGAAGTTCTTGATTGCAAACACCTCTTATATATTACTATGACTACTTCTACTATTGCTGCTACTGTCTTTCAATCTCTCACTTACACACACACAGACACACACTAATGGCTGTTTAGACAAGCTACAAAGATTTTCTAGCTTTCAGAAAAAAATGGTTTATTACATTTATACCTTGTCTTTCCATTGAAGTACTGGTCAATATTATTAAAAGCATAAAACAAAGTGAATAATAAAGCTATTATACCTCATCCATGTAATTTCAAAAAAAACCTTTTACTGAGTGACTTTTGGTATTATTGAGCATTCCAATGAATTTCAGGGATAAAAGCGTCCCTCTTTCTACATGAGTGAGGATCTATAATAAAAGATATTCCTCAATATAAAAACATCAGGAACTAAAAAAAAACCCCACATGCGGCAGAAGATTTATTCTGAATATTGTATTTGATAGACCTCATTTTCTGCAAAAATATTCATGCAACATAATTTTTGCTTTAAAAGTATTAGTTATTTCCCAATAAACATAATATAAATCTTTATAGCAACGTGCCCAAATCAGCAAATTAACATAAATCCAAAATAATCAGTTTATTTATTTGCAGAAAGGCCTAGCTGTAGCATTAATGATATTGTGGAGTAATTTTCTATCTCAATAACACAATTATCCCTGCTGAGGGAATGAAGGATCATTCTCTGTGCCTGTCACCCTACAGACAACAGTATGTCACTTGGATGCTGTAATGATCCTAATAAACTAATTCCCCACATGTGGTGTACTGTCTGCTAGTTTTTAATCTGCTGCCCAACTGTACAAATAACAAAGGCGGTACGGGGGGGGGGGGATATATAGCTTATTTTCCTGAATGATGCTAATATACATCAGATTTTTCATTAGCAAGCCTTCCGTCTGTTATAAACCAGTGAAGAAACACTGTTTCCCACCTTTTAATCCAGTGCAGCAATATGGGTCAATTAATATGTCATCTGACGCCAATAGAGAGAGGATTCAAAATGTATACCAGGTTGTCTATTCAGGTAGCTGTCTCATTTCAGATGAGATGATCTCTTAGTACTGCAGCTCCAGAGCACTTTTTGCAATCTTCCCCTGGTTTATCTAGTATGTACTACGAGAAGGAGCAATTATCTATGAACTCAAACAGGTACCCCTTAATTATTACATATGTCCCTGGTGTGTGTAGCCCATTTGAAGCTGCTCAGTAAACACAGTTTATCAGTGACTCTACACTTCACATATTTTCCTGTCATTGGACTTCAGTAACTTGTGAGTAACAGCTTCCGACTCATCATTGCACTGAAATAGCAGTACTTGAGACTAGATGCTACACTTCTATATATCAGTCTCCAAAACAATAGACAAACATATGAGTCTACTTTTGTAGAGAGAAAAAGTGGTATAATAATAATAATAATAATAATAGGGCTGTGACTCAGTAGTGTCCCTCTCATTCCATGTTCTGAATACATACTCTTTTTCACTATTTGCACCACAAATTATGTACTAAAGAATGCTATCTCTTAGAAACAGTTCCAAGATTTCTAGCATTGCTTGTTTGTTTTTGGTTCTGGCCATTTCTGAATTTTATCTCTATTTGCTCTATAGTCAAATGTCTGTGATGTCAGTTTCAGGTTCACAGCAGCATCTCTACTTCGTCATTCATAGACCATATCAAATGAGCATGAGCTTGTTGCCCTTCCACCTTTGCTTCCTCACTTTTTAATGATCAACAAACCATTCTAAGCATCAGGTTTTCTGTATCCCATTTCAAACACAAATGACAGGAGAATGTATGTCTCAAGACATGCTTGTACTTTGTAGGGGGAAAAAGTGTCCCAGTAGCAAATGCAATAGATTTGTTGGAATAAATTTTGTTCCAGCTGTTCATTGTCAGTACATAACACAATGGCAGGTGACTGGAACATTATTTTAAACACTTCAGAATGATGTTCTAAAATACAGTGAATTATTTGTGAATTCTTCAACAAAACATGACATTGGGGTACTGAAACATTTAATCTGGAGGGATTAATTGATATTAATGCATTAGGTAATAAAACAATCAAGAGCAATATTCTACAGGTATCAAAATGATTTAAAAAGCCAATCTGAATATGCTTTATCTACAACAGGTCATCTTCTGTTTAAAAGCCTTGAAAGTAGGAGCTTCCACCACATCCCAAGGCAGTAAGTTCAAGTCAGTGTAAAAGGATTTGTTGAGATGTGTCATTCAAATCTGTAAGCAGAGACAGACAGAGAAAATGCAGCACAGGAAATTCAATGTGGCATGTGATTCATTTGAAGTAGATAGATATACCCACGTGGTTTGCAGAGCTCTTACCATGTGGAGTGATTTCAGACAAGTTCCTTGTCACATGGATTTTCTAAAACAAAGCTTTTTTAAAAACATTACACTTCACATATGGGTCACTGCCTCAAAGTATTTGCATTAGAATGTTATAACAGTTCAACGCCACTTTACTTATCATGGCTCTATATGAGAGAAAAGTTTGGCTTTGTAGTGTAGAGGTATTTACAGTTCCCTGCAGGAAAACCAGTGCCCTCCCCTGAACTACAATGATCTATAAGTCCAGCAAAGAATTGCAAGTGTCTTGCCAAACTACAAATCTCAAGATTCTATAGGATGAAGCCATGGGTATTAAACAATATTACATTGCTATAACTATGGAGCAGAGATATACTCTCACTTAACTTTGGAGGACAGAAAAGCAATACTGTTTTACTACATGGGAATTTTGCCACAAGAAATGACAAAAATTAACTTTTGTATATATACTCCCCCCAAATGCTTGAGAAAGTATTAATCACAAACTCAATATTGAAACATAATTTTAAAAAGTAAACATAACTTTTTCTGTTGTAGATTTCTTTAAACTCTGCATAAATAAGATAAACTGCATATTTGGTGAGATGAAGGAGAATTAGACAAGAGTTAGCAGTAAATTGTACCAGCAAGAGAGAGGGGACAATGCTACGGGAATTAATGCCTGGGAGCCTTTAAATTCCAAAGTATTATTCTCAGAAGTCTGAACAAAAGAAGTTCCAACTTTGACTGACCTGAATACTACTGCTTTGTCAGGGAAATCTGCAGAACACTCAGATCGTATTTTGTAACATTCAACATACCATAGAAAAGTCTGCCACATCCCTCACTGGAATCTTATAAACAAGGCTTTCGTTTAAAAGAGCTCATTTATAACAATGAATTTGTTACACATTGTTCAGAATTAAACCAAAATGAAAGTATTTAGGAGATATCTTCCTTTTAATTAGAAATGTGCTCTTTTAAAATTTCTCACTTCTTCTCTTCTGAAGAAGGTTATAATATATAGTCAGAATTATAGTATGTGTATGCTTCTCTAACTTGCTCTTCTTCTAAGCCTATGTTTTACCCCTATTTCTCAATGTAAGATTTCACAATCTGTAATTAGATTCAAGGATATAAGGTTTTCTAATGATGGCAGAAGGAATTCCCAAGGTTACATTTGCAAGAGTCTTTATTAATTTCTATTGGGATTCTACATTTAATTTCACACATTCTTCCAATTTCACCATGTCTAACAGTTGCTGGTATCCTCACAGCCTCTGAGGATGCCTGTCATAGATGCAGGTGAAACGTCAGGAGATAATGCTTCTAGAACATGGCCATACAGCCCGAAAAACCTACAACAACCCAGTTGCTGGTATGTACTGTATGTAATCCTAATACTGGTGCTAAATTACAAAGTCTTGTTTTTTGATTGAGATGCCAAGACAACACCATGCAGAGAGAATACAAAAAAATTGTGGTGACTCCCATATCACTGTCAAAAAGTACGCATTTGTAACATTGTTATATTAAATTTTTCTTTGTGTACCTATGTACTTCTATAATAATAATAATAATAATAATAATAATAATAATAATAATAATAATAATCTTTATTTATACCCTGCCACCATCTCCCCCAACAGGGACTCGGGGCGGCTTACATGAGGCCAAGCCCAAACAACAAATTACAACAAAATAAAACAAAAACAAAAGCAACAGCATAATAATTACATAAAAACATATAATACAGTGAGCAATTTAAGAAAACAATACACACCATCACAATGACAATGGGCGGGCRGCATGTGCAGGATAAAATGTTAAAAACTCAGGGTCAGATAAAAGAGGAGCAGGTTATTTGTGAAGGAGGGCTCATAYAACGGGGTTGTAGAACCAAACTTTCCCACGTGGYGGGACGGACGACGACATAGAATCATGTACTCCAATGGCAGAAATGTTGAGGGGAGCAATAGTATGAGGTTGTGTGCCTACTCACCAAAGGTGCAGCYGAAAAGCCAGGTTTTCTTTTTAAAGATTTCTAAGYTAGGGGCTTTCCTAATCTCTCCGGGTAATGAGTTCCAGAGTCGGGGGGCCACAGAGGAGAAGGCTCTCTCCCTTGTACCCACAAGATGAGCCTGTGAGACTGGTAGGGGRGAAAGGAGGGCTTCCCCCGAAGATCGAAGGGCCCGGACTGGTTCATGGAGAGAGATACAGTCACGAAGGTAGGTGAGTCCCAAACTATTTAGGGCTTTATAGGTGATAACCTGCACCTTGAATTGGAACRGGAAAATAAATGGAAGCCAGTGAAGCTCCTTAAACAGGGGGGTRGACCGCTCCCTGTAATTAGCCACAGTTATTAATCTGGCTGCCGAACGTTGGACAAGTTGTAGTTTCCGGGCCATCTTCAAGGATAGCCCCATGTAGAGTGCACTGCAGTAGTCCAGTCTAGAGGTAATTAAGGCATGGACCAACATGGTCAAGTCAGGTCGCAGTTGGCGCACGAGTTTTAATTGTGCGAAGGCCCTCCCGGCCACCGCCGACACTTGTGCATCAAGC